AGCACTTCACACCTGTCGTCGTACTGTTTCTTCAGCTCGTTGTAGTAAAAGTCGTACATGAGGTGTTTGGATAAATCGAGGATGCTCATCCCCACGTAAACAGGCCGGTTGAATTTGATGTGACTTTTCTTCATGTGTAGGGCAACCAGGTCGTCGGTGAATATTTTGCTACGGTTGAATGCCGGGCTGGCTATCAGTCTCCTGAGCTTGTCTTTTCATTCGACCGAACCAGCTTCACGGTCACGCGTTTCCTAAGGTTCTCCATAGTCTTACCAAACACCGAGTTGTTCATGAGTTTGTAGAGGTTTTTCTCAAAGTCACTGGTGGCCTTCTTTCGGAGGTCTGTGTTCATTCTGATGTAAGGCTCCATCCAGGGGCTCTGGTTGACCACGAGCACCCTGTGTATTTTGGCTAACCTCATACCCAACGACAGGTACAGCTGTAGGGTGCGATAGTGAACGATGTACTTGGTCTTATTCATTAAGTTGGGCACGAGTTTTTCAACGTCTGCCACCCGCCCACCTTACAAGTTATGTGGGTACTCAGACATCCAGTCTGGGTTAACCCTCATACGTTCGGGGGCCAGGGGGTAGCTGTTGTGTGATGTGTGTAATGCCTTGGGGTATTCCAGTCCACCTCGAGGATAAAACCTTTGTTCGAATCTGGTGCGATGCTCATAACATCAACCTCGTGCGATGCCCATTCGAACCCCCCTGTGGGTAGATACTGGCTCATGGCCCAGCCGTACAGGTTGCAAGCAGTCAGGACCGAACTCAGCGGTGAAGGTGATATACCCCAATGTGTTAAAGAAATGTTGAACAGCGTCGAAAAACTGTTGGCGTTCTGGAACAAGCCTTTGCCTGTTTCGAATTTCCCCTGAGGGAACTGTAGGTCTAGACGAAGCCTTGAAACATGTACGCGGAGAACTTCGTGAACAACATGGGAAACTGAACGAAGTCGACGAGCACATCGCTCACGAGAAAATAAAACTCACCAAAGCGGACGGTGATATGAAACGCCGCATCGAGGAGAGAATAAAAAACTTGGAAGACGAGAGAAGGACTCGGTTGGAATCCGCTTCCTCTAACCGGGAAGCCCTCCAGTCACAAATCAGTCGAGTACAGGAAACCATCGATCGAGTCCTAAATGAGGACACCACGCTAGCTGACAGGATCCGAATACTCTTTCGAGACCAAGGCATCACCATCGCCAGCATTCTGACTGCATTGGGCTTCATCATATCAACCTTGGTGGTGTCATTGACGCCTGCCGGCGGCAGTGGTACACCAATACTAAACACCACAGGTGGCATCAGAGACTTGATAAAAAAACTCAGGGAGGCCCTGGCTAAAGTGGCTGGGAAGGCCGCCGAAGCCCTGCCCGGCATCCTGGGTAGCATCGTCTCGTGGCTGCTGAGCGCTCTGGCTAAAACTGCCACGTGGCTTAGTCAAAACCTGTGGGCAGCCATCATCGCCGTGGCGGGTTAGGTGTATAGCGGCTAAGGAATTTTTAACCAAATAAGTCCCACCGCGATCCCGTGAACCACCAGGGCTGTTTACGGTCGATGTGCTGCTGCAGGTGTGCAGGTGTGTGTGCCCACACAGGGTGTGTGTGTTGAACCCTAGGCTCGAGGGGTGGCGCCACTATACCGGTTTCACCAGTCGTGGGTGGTGGGACGTGGGGGGTGTTAACATCGGGGTTGACGCCCAACTTTTGATCCGCCGTGGCTATGACTATTTCGTTGTTGTAGCCCACCACTTTTTTTACTCTCAATTGCATATCGCTCGGGGCCATGTACAGTCCCACGTCGAAGACGTAGTCGACTTTCGACCTGGCGTATTCCAACACGTCTTGGTAGCATTCGATGGCACTCGGGAGATCAACTGGAGAATTGATAGCATCCTCAACGTTAACAACGAACTGTTTCTGAGCGTCGTAAGCAGTCTCCTTACCGAGGATATTGGAACGCGTTTGCGTCTGCGCACCCAACAGCGCCCACACGTACGTTCAAATCGAGTCGTTCAACCTGATTACACTGGCACGAGTGAATCCTTACGATGTGTCCAACATGAACTTTTTCCAGGTATCCGCTGACCCCTGCTCGAACCTCCAGACTCGGTAATCCTTGCTGTTGTCAAAAGCCATGTAACGGTCATCCCACTCGTTCGTTGCGAGGTGATGATACGACTTGTAGCCCCATTCTTTCATCTTCTCACTGGCATCCACGAGGGGCATGTTGTGAACGATGGGGATACCCAACCCGTGGTTCGGCCCCGGCAAACGCCAATCCGTCTTCGAGTTTAGTTCGAATTCGTTGCAAATACGTTCGTATGCCCGTCTATCATACTGGTTGTTTACTGGGTCCCACGCCTTGTCCTGTGGGAGCGGGGCGCTGATCTCATTGAGGATACGCCTGATCTGGTAGTACACGTGGAACGTGAACACAGACTGACTCAGCAGTCCATGCCGAGTGTCAGTTAATGCCACACCACACCCCATTGTAGCGCACCACACGGCGAAGTTGAGTTGATTCTGCCAGAACTGCATCGGGTTGTTGAACCAAGCGTGAACTACCTTACCGGTAGTCACCGAAAACCTATACCGGTCGAACACATCTATGAACTGGGCGTTGAAATACAACCCATCAGCGACCACGATCTTGTGTGGGAAATCTATGTTCAGTTTAGGGTAAAACACTCCCGGGGAGTACATTTTAAAACTATTATGTAATGAGCATATATACTCTAACATGTACATAACACTTCCAGGAATAACGAGCGGCAAGGCCATTCAGCTGATGCACGCGATCGAGTCAACTCGAAGTCGCACTCTGCGATATCACCTACCTACCGCGATGGACTAACATCAACGCCAGCAACAACAAGATGTTCGTCAGTGGCGCCCGCAACCAGATAACTGACGGCTACTACAGCATGTGCTCGCTAAGCGACGAGGTCTTCAAGCCCCTGGGAGGCACCCATGAAGGGCCACCTCCTCGTGGTGGGTGCTGGGTAACGCTAAGCGCCCTTCAAACCCCCGTTGTGGACCCGGGGGGATATTAGGTCCACCAACCTGTTTGCCGTGGGTTGCGCCCCTGTGTCGGTGGAGGACGGGATTCTGGTGGTTGAGGGCAAGGGCTCCAGGAACAGTGTTCCTTTGCCCAATACACCACTTCGACCCTTACTTCACCTAGACGGGTGGTAGAACTGGCCTGGTTCTATCAATCAGCTGGTCACGCCAAGCCCTGTGCATTGTATTTTGTCTTGCACACCTTATATCTAATTATTCATTCATTACTTTGTGGACTTGGTAAAAATGTACTTGTACTATTCACTTGCTTAATTTAAACAAATACAAAATTACTTGCCTAGAGTCTAACATGCCAGAAGGCGGTGGCTCATGGGCCAATCTGGTAGAAAAATTGTTTTTTAATGTTTCTGCTTGAGTATATCCCCCTGGTATCCCTGGTGCCGCCTGTTGGAGACCCACAGGCATGAGGCATCGTCCTTGTTGACACTCCATGGTGGGTGGGGAACCAGGAGGATGAACCACAATCACTACAACCATGGAACCCCCGATGAAAAAACGCCCGTATGAGTCAAATGATTTCTGTGATGCAGATAGGCCGATAACGCCTTCTGTGACTTTTGAAAACTGGCCCAGATTCTTGGTTATCTCAACTCAGGATGGCACTCCACTCAAGTTGAATCCTTTTGCCATTGAGAAGACTATTCAGGGCATTGCTGGCGATGTTGAAGATGTCAAAATATTACGCAGTGGTTGTCTACTTATTAAATGTAGACGACAGAAACAGGCTGTCAATCTTCTTTCCACCAAGACCCTCGCAACTGTTCAAGTTGTGGTTTCCCCACACCGATCCTTGAACAGCTGTAAGGGGATAGTGCGAGATAGTGGTCGTTTACTTGCTGACATGACTGAGGATGACATTTTGGAAGAACTAAAGAGCCAACATGTTATCTCTGTAAAACGTTTCTCTTCCAAACGACATGGTGCGATCATTAAGACCAACACGTATCTGTTTACCTTTGGTCTTTCCAAAATACCTAACTCAATTAAAGCCGGATATTGTAATATCAAAGTGGATCTGTACATCCCTAATCCTCTAAGATGCTACAAATGCCAACATTATGGACATGGATCTAGAACGTGCAATAAAGACGCTGCTTGCAATCGTTGTGGCGGTAACTGTGATGACAGTACTGAATGTAACAAAGATCCTTCATGTGTCAACTGTGGCGGTAATCACGTTTCCTCTTCCAAAGATTGCCCCATATGGAAACGCGAATCCAAGATCATGAAAATCAAACATGAAAGGAATGTATCTTTTCAAGATGTGAAGAAGATTGTTCTGGGCGAAGAACAGTCCATACACAGTTCCTATTCTGCAGCCGTTACTCGACCAATTTCACAGTCTGTTCCGCAACATGTTCCATGGTTGTCGGACCGATTATACATGGACTGAAACCGAAGCTCTAAGTTAATTTCAGTCTCTATCACTGAAGCAACAGTTCCTGTTGTGGAATCGGCCAGTTCACAAACACCTCCCCACGATCTACCATCATCTCAGTCGTCTAGGATCACACAGTTAGAAACAAATGTAAAACAAGTGGTAAAAAACATAAACAAACCAATCCCGGAATCAAAACAGCCCCAAAGTGGCAGGAGATCTAAAGGATCTGAAAACAAGATCCAGTTGTTCAACAAATACGGTTCACTTGAAGATATGGATGTGTCTGACATCAGTAGTCAGAGAACACATAGCCCGTCACCCTCAAGGAAAGGGCGGGGCAGATCGCCAATTAATCCTCCTAAAAGGTAATGTCTTCACATATTCTACAGTGGAACTGTAGAGGTCTCAGGAACAATTATAATCAAGGATTTCAGACCATCAGCACTATGTTTACAAGAAACATACCTGAAATTTACAGATAAATTTGATTTAAGGAATTATGATTCCTACCATCGTTTTTTCTCCAGCTGGTGATAAGGCCACTGGGGGATTTTCTATTCTGGTGAGTCGGGACACGATTCATAGCGCTATTCCACTTAATACCCCTCTTCAAGCCGTTGCTGTCCGCGTGACACTACATGTTGTACTTACTTTGTGTTCACTATATATACCACCATCATCCTCTATACAGCAATGTGATCTTCAAATGCTCTATGATCAGCTCCCAAAACCTTGCATTATAATGGGAGATTTAAATGGTCATAACCCACTTTGGGGTAGTAACACAACCAATGCAAAAGGGAAGATACTCGAGGATTTCTTCTCAAATAATGATTTATGCATTTTCAAAGATGGCTCTGACACATATCTTCATCCTGCAACTGGTTCGTACTCCTCTCTGGATCTATCCGTTGTGGACTCTAATTTATATAACGAATTTGACTGGTCGGTCCATGATGACCCTTGTGGAAGTGACCATTTTCCCACTATTTTTTTCCGCCATAAACCCCAGTGATGCTGCACCATCGTCCAGGTGGAACTTTAACAAGGCAGATTGGTCTATGTTCGAGACCTTATGCCATACCAGATTAAAACCCGAATTCTTTCTAACTGTGTCTGATCCTATTCAGATGTTTTCTGATGAATTAAATATGATTGCTGATGATTGTATTCCCAAGTCCTCTATGGTCCCACACATCCGTAAGCCATGCACAGCAAAAATAACTTAGTTTCCGTTCTTGCGGAAACCTAATTAATACTGGGTAATGTAGGTTTCCGCTAGGTTTCAGTATCCGGAAACAGACAATGCGAGTTTCCGCATAGTTTACAAAACTGAAACTAACAAATCTAGGTTTCCGTCAAGTTTCTACAACTGAAACTATCATTATGCGTTTCCATTGAGTTTCAGTTTGCTGAAACATTCATAGCAATATGACTTAGTTTCCGCTATTGCGGAAACCTATTGAATACTGGGTAATGTAGGTTTCCGCTAGGTTTCTGTTGGTTTCAGCTTAGATGAAATGGCAAACTTAACTTTGTGCTGTTCCATTGGGGGACAATATTTACTTACTGTTACATTTGCAAGATAATTTCTATATACAGAATCCAGCTAGGGTCCATGCAGGAAGCAAAAGTACTGTACGATCCCGTAGTCCCTAGTATGTTGATCAACCTTCAGGTGTTGGCAATCTATAGCCCATTTTTATACTGTACCGTTAAAGTGTTTATGGTTACATGCCAGTTTTTAGTGTACATTTGTGATAGACAAGTTATTTTACTGTCCTTAGAAGACAGGTAGGTATATAAGTTTGTTTTTATTTCATGTACACATTTACAAATTTAGATTTACGACTTTCACGATATGGCTGCCGATGTGACTTTGTAACTCACTACCGTTCTGCATAACTTGTGAATGTACCATTTATTACATTGTACACGAAAAACAACAAACACAGTAACACAGTCACTGATATGATTCATCTGTTTCATTATTTTGAATAGCTCACATTTCAAGAGAACCCAATAATGTATGTATGTATGTATGTATGTATGTATGTATGTATGTATGTATGTATGTATGTATGTATGTATGTATGTATGTATGTATGTATGTATGTATGTATGTATGTATGTATGTATGTATGTATGTATGTATGTATGTATGTATGTATGTATGTATGTATGTATGTATGTATGTATGTATGTATGTATGTATGTATGTATGTATGTATGTATGTATGTATGTATGTATGTATGTATGTATGTATGTATGTATGTATGTATGTATGTATGTATGAATGAGAGAAGCCACATCAAGAGGGAATCTTCAGCATTGGAGAACACAACTTCTGAATGAATATGAAAATACAAATATGTCAAAACCCTACAACATTTTATGCATATGATGAAATGATGTCTACTAGTGCAGGCATAACATACTTGCTGTGGTATTTATTAAACAGATTTTAACTTCAAATTCAAATGTTTATTGTATGAAAGGTCATGGGCCCATATACATGAAGTGTACATTTGAAGCTGCCTCAATGTATCTTAACATATACACACTAACAATCTCACATAGTAAAGACTTGGCAACGTGCTGACAATCATGAAGCTTCTATTGCACTCATACTGAGCTGACAGCAATCCTCTGATCTGGTACATATGAAGCAGAGCCTGAGTTGAGACATTTGTTTTGCCACAAAGAGAAAGGGGAAATATAACCAAGTTGATTACAACAAGGCTTGAACCAGTCCACAACCGCAAACAGATGGTGTATGGTCTACTTAAGATATGTGGGTGAATATGAAGAGTCCTGGTTGATGTCTGGCACAACATCGTTGCCATCCTCATCGGCCAACACAGACTCTGCATTATCCTGCAAATACAATACATACAATGCTTAGTAAAACTACAAAAACAGCCAAAGTAACACATGTATACATATTCAAAAACATGCACAGTGGTATATCTGATCACAAATTTTTTTTTATAAAATTAGAGCGACTAATTTGTAGATGTACCCAAAAGATTTTTTTCACAATCACAAAGGAAAGATCTGTAGTATACATGTATATTGTATCTTCCATTGGACATGTCACTTATTTGATTGATTGGTACCAGAAAATAGTAGCCAACCCAGTATTCTGAAGCAAATTGTGGTAATATTTAGTACTGTTACTGTACTCATATTCAAGGTAACATCTACTACCAAATCGCCAATTGAAATCTAAGAATAGGTAAAACGGTACATACATATTTTAAATAGATACGAATCATGTTTAAACACTGAATGTAACACCTGATTATATATGTGATCTTATCATTTCAAATTGAAATGACCAACTCAACTGAGAAAAGCATACAAAACCTAACATTTCCCATGAATGAAAAGTCGTGGGTATTTCTTAGTTTTATCAACCCTCTAAAGAAACATTCACAGCAATACAATAACAAAAAATATTATTTTTTAATGTGACCTTTACTTTAATTTAAAAACTGTAAAATGTGTAACACAACTTATTCACTTACAGTTACAGTTACATATTTGATATACAATAATTAAATATATTCATTATTGATATATGATGGATAACAAAGGGACAGATCAAACTGAAGTCGTTAAGTGAAACCTATGAAGTGAAGTATCTTTGACGACTAACCTGATGAGAAACTGCCGTCCATTCCAGACGGATTCCTTGTTTCCTTGAAACAAGCGACTGGCAGTGCGGACAGAAAACTGGTCTTCTTCTTGGAACTGAAAAACATATCAACTTATAATTACACTGGAATCCACGCACTGTTACATTTTGAGTGATTATATTTTTCACAAAGATAAAGAAATTTATTCTATGTATCTATTTAGTGTTTACTTGTTTTGACTAAATGCTGATGAATAAAAATATTGTTTTAAGATTTCCTTTAATGCAATTAGGAGCATGGTAGGGTGTAACTATAAATGATTACCAAGCCAAGCCTCTTGTCAATCTCCAACAAGTCCCTAGATCCACAAAACGTATCTGTAAATTGAAACAATGATTCTTTTAGAAATGTTATACGTGACTTGTGTCAATGCATTGTAAGGCTAAGAGGTTTAATAATTGATTACACAAATTATTACACAAAGCTATGAGTGTAAAGTATATGTAATAATTGATTTAATGGTTATAAAATGATAAAATAGATGAACCGGTATAATTGGATAAATACCGCCATATAGCTGGAATATTGCTGAGTGTGGCGTAATACTAAACTCACTCACTCGAATATATTGAGCTGACATTACATATAAGCTAGCAATATATACTGCAAAATTAGATAATTTAACTTATAATACATGGGAATAGTATATCTAGGTGTAGAACTGAAAAGAATGAATATGATATAAGCATGTCTAATACACTTGCATGTTTGGATCTCAATGGGTAAATTACTTACATGATGAAGTTTTACGTCCAGCAAAAATATTTTCGTATATTGCCTACTCCTGACAGGGTTTTGAAAAATCACCTATTTGTCACTAACACAAGTTCTCACGAGTAGGACTCATGAAGCTCCATCAGGGTGCCGTTCCACTAACCGATCTTAGCCCTACGCCAATCGTAAACCCCTAAAATCCCAATCTTAGCGTTACGTTACGATCGGCATACCGTTCCACTAACCAATCTTACCCAAGTCAATCGTAAAGTTAAGATTCAAAGTCTAAGTTGCTCATGATCAACTTAGGATAGCTAAAATCAATCGTAGAGAAACCAAAATGGTGGCTTTCCTATTCTATGTGAAAAATAAGAGCGAGAATTTCACCGTGAGCGTCCCCTAAAATCCCCCATGAAATGAATTTGTATATTTCTGTGATGTAAACAAACACTGCACTGAAGCCTTACAAATGTCAGGCCAGTCTGACCACTGTCGTCATGGGAACACAACCGAGCGAGTCGGTGTAACACATTTGTACAACAATATTGCAACGTCATGGGACAGCTGTGAAGTGAACAATGTTCTGAAGCAAAACG